CTATTGTTGCTGTTTCACAGCCCATAATGGCAAGTATTCGTGTGGGATCCTTATTTTCCTTTTGATGAAGGAAGAAAATTTTGGTGCCACCTGCTGCTACTAGAATGGGCCAATTGGAGCAGAGGTGGTGGTACAGACAACAATCCCTTGGACACTGGGTGAGAACAGTGAAGAGTAGGGTTTGAAAAATCCACACCTCCATAGCAACATGTACTCTTAATAGCTCCACCACATGTCACTTCTTCTACCAGGCTTGAGGCACACACAGTGGAGATTATTTTACTTTGGGACATTAAGAACCAAATTGTAGTTTATCTAAAGACACAGCACTTATGTCAAAGCCAGTAGGTTTTCTGTTAAGGATTCAAATCAACCTTCTTTGTCAAGGAAAATAGTCCATATGGCTTGCATTTTGGGAAACAGTAACATAGTATTCTATTTAGAGGGATGAAATTGGCATTTTTGTTGGAGCAGGCCTACTGTTTTAATTCCTTGGCCACTCTTGTCTGGACAGTTTTTTATCTAATGACACTAGATTTCCATCTTATAAATAAAGCACTGTAATTGTGTGGAAGTAGTATGCTGTCACCACAGCTTTTCTGAGACTGTCTTTCAGCTGAATACATCAGATGCTTCCAGGAAGTTGTGCCTTCACCAGTGTAGGTGACATCTACTCACTTCCTTTTTGATCCAGGGACAATTTTCACTTTAGTCTAGGTTTAATTTGTAGAGCTAGTGGTTCTTTTAAATAGCCTCAGTGAAGTAGTCTAACAAGGGTCTTCTCATCCTTCTTGGAGCCACACAGATGATCATGTAGAAGAGTTTTGAACTAGTTCCTTCCCGAGTAGCACAGGTTTCTGCTCAAAGTATGCACAAACTGCTCATTTCACCTCATGGTTGGTGACCTAGATACAGAGCTGACTTTCAGTTTCATTAATGTGGCCTTTTTGGTTAGTTCTTTCAGAAGGAAGTGCCTCCTAGGCACTCAGGCCAACTATTTCTCACCTGCTAGAGCTTCTCCCTATGAAAAGTATAAGGACCGTAAAAATGGTCAGAGGCTTGGATAACATCTATTCCACATGCCCTGGGCCAGCGTGGATGGAAGGACAGTGTGCCCATCCACCAGAGAGCACCACGTTCAGCAGCCATTAAAGTCCTGCAGAATCACTGCTTTGGGATCCTTCATAGGAGTGATGGACTCAGAGCCGGCAGAGCCTGAGTGCAAATGTGGCAGGCACAGGGCTGTACAAGCCACACCCAAAGCCACATTTCTGACAAAGCCTGTAATAGATTTCAAAGGGATGATTGGAGCTTGCTCTTCTGAAATGTTTATTCCTGTGAGAAACCACAAGGTGGTGCCATGCCCTAACTCACTACACTATAAAGGCAATGGTTTTAATTTTATGGAGGGTTGTATATGTGTTGTTACAATTATTCTATTTCCAACCACATTTTCTTCTTTTTTTTCTTACGGTAGTGAGGGTGGAACCCCAGACCTCAGAGTAGACAAGCCCTCTACTACCGGGCTACATCTCCAGTTATATCCCTGTACATTCTCTGTCTAAATTAAATGGCTTCGTTAATACTGAACTATTCCAGATTGATGTAAACATATTCAGCAATATTGGGTGTTAACTCCAGACTTGAAAGAGAAAACACACAAAGGGGAGCCTCTGTGCTGTGAACAAAAGACAGGCTTGTTCTCCAAAGTATATTCTTTGTCTTCTGAAAACCAGAGGAAGACAGGATTGATCTTAAGGCTTCAGCCATGAAGAGGAACGTAGTTATAATTAAACAAATCATTTGGTGCACGTGGCCAGTGTTATGTAGATTTGTGATCTCCAGCCTCTGAGCTCATGGCAAAGCATAAGGAAGACATGGCCTTGGTTTTCTTGTTTCTGTGTCAACCGACAAACAAACAAGTATGCACAGCCACTGTGATACAATGTCATCGGACAAAGGCTCCATCCATACCCAGGGTTGGCAAGTGATGCCCAGGACTCAAAGAACTAGGAGTGTTCAGCCCCCCACCCCATCTAAGTCTAGATGTGTGACATTTAAACATACCACCCAGTGCAGAATGAAAGGAAAAATGTATGTGCTGCAAAATAAATCTTCCCTCCACCTGAAAGAACCAGTAGCATTTAAAATGCTTAGTAGAGGAAGTAGGAGAATAATGGTTATACATATGGCTAAATCATAATCCAGTAAGCCAGACCGTGAGCCCTGTTTCTACACCATATTCCATGGTACCCAATGTGATGGGCCAGACCTTTCAGGTAGTCACCCTGAAGGCCTATGCAGCCTTGTCATGATTCAGCAAACAGAAGAAATGGGCAGGAAACTTGAAGAAAAGGTGTGTTCTGCAGCAACTTCCTTTGATGTAAACTTTCATCTTCGAGGGTGGCAGACTCAAGATAGTCTGAGGGGATCTGAAGCAGTTTGTTCTGTAGGGAAGCTAAAAGGAGCAAAACATCTAAAGAGCTCCAGGAAGCCCCTGAAACGTTACCAAACACATGATCTGTCCGTTCTCAAAGGTATATAAACGGTATGGACTGATGAGAGGCACTGTCACATGACGCGGCCTGCCTAGAAACAGAAGAGACCAGCAAAGCTTTCTGGAAGAAGCTCAGACCAGCTGAACCACATGGACAGCACTCTTTACAATCTGACCAGCTGTCTGCAGGCTGGCAGTGTGCTCCAGGTCTCCAGCTTTTGTGAGCTGTCACCAATGCTGGGATGGGCTTTGGAGTTGTGGCTGTCTTGGAATCACTTCTGCTGTAAGTAACCCCATGCCTATATTTCATGGTTCGCATAGTCGGACTTTGATAGGAACCTTACTTTGGTCGGCCCTCGGTCTCCTATCTGGGATGAGCTCACATTTGCTCTCATCATACAAGGAGGAAATGGGAAGTAAAAATCAGATTTGGAAAATCCAGAGATTTCCGATAAAGCTCAAATGTGAAAATATGTTGAAAGTCAAGGCAAACAACTGTACCTATCAGTAACACAGTGTAAGTACACTTTATACTTAATATTCTTGGCAGCTTTTACCTGCTGGTTTTAATCTATAAGCATCTGAGAGAATAAGGTGCCTCACCATCTGGGTCATGCAGAAGTTATTTTTTTATTTTTTATTAACAAAGTGCGAGATAATCAGGGATAGCAAAAGAGAAAATTTAAAAGTAAATCTGAACATTCTAAGAACTCTACAATTGGCTTTTAACAGGCAGTCAAGGTGAAGGGATGGCTGTAACCCATTTTTACTTCCAGGTGACCTAGAGAAAGGCTGAGCTGAAGAGGAGATTAAGAAAGACTAGCAAGAATATTTTGGGCAGAGAAAACCTTGGTGAAGATTTGAAGACAACTTTTGCATCAGAAAGGCTTGAGTGCATAAAATAATTATATGCTAACTATAGTTTGGATTTATGACATTTCTAAAAGTTCAGACTGGTGAAGCACTGGCCCAGTATTTGGGTGCTACTGGGGGTGGTAGAACCCTTAGGAGGTCTGCCTAGTAGGGCTCTGCAGGTTACTGAGGGTACACTGTTAAGGGGGCTTCGGGAGCCCAATCTTATGCTCTGATTTTCATTGTAGCCACAAGATGAGCAGTTTTTATGACTGTGGTGTATTGTCACATAAAGGCACGATCACACAGTGGACCTTCCAGGATTATGAGCCAAAGAAACATAGTGATCACACTAGGTATTTGTCAAGTAGGAGAACATAGATTTCTGAGTTTCTAGCGAGAACCAAAAAACAACCTTTCTTTGGACCACCTCTCTGAGGAGTCAGCACTCACATTCTGAGCAGTGAACTGAGTCTTGCCTGTGGGTGCATGGGGGTTTTAAAGCTTAAGCTACTATACAAAATTAGGAGCTTCATGGATGTTTCTATGCATTTCATTGCACTCTGCTCACGTTCACTCCATTGCCCTCTTGCCCTTTTCTTCTCTGTATATTCATGTGGTAAATCCAGATTCCACGTGAGAAAAAGCACGCAGTATCTGTCTTTGTATTGCCTCCTTTGTTCCCCTCCTAGTAACCCCTTTCTCCCACACATAAGTTCCTCTTCTATTTCTGAGTCATATGTGTGTGTGTGTCTGTGTATACACACACATGTGCATGTCCAGATTCCACATGGGAGGGAAGTGCTGTCCAGGTAGGCAGGTGTCCTTTATCCATGTCGTCCATGTCTTTGTTTCTTGCTGGAAAAAGATGCCATCAGAGGCATTTCTAGTGTTACTGGTGACTGGAAGTACCCTCTCCAGATGAAGCGACCTTATCAACTGGTCATATTAATTCTCTCAAAATCTGAGTTGATAAATGTTTACTTGGTAACAAATAAAGTCACTTTACCAGGATGACAATCTTTGTATATTAAGCAAATGAGCTGTAATTTGGTCCACAAGAGCAGATGTCTTTAATGGCACTACAGTCCAGGTTGTCATTTAAGCAAAGTCTCTCCCCGTTGTTTCTTCTTAGCACAGTGGAGACCCGTAGGCCTCTGAGTCTACCTGCTCCACTGTGTGTGAACTCCACTGCCAAAGTTACTCAGGTCACTTTCCTTGAAAGCCAGTGCGGTGACATTTGCTCTGCCACAGAAATAAGTGGACACCTGGACACAGTCTGATCTAGTCTACCTTATACTTTACCAGGGCTGGAAGCTGTTCTGTTAAAATGATGGGGCATTTGGAGAAAAACTCTTCATCTGAACACGTGTTACTGGATACCAACAGGAGGGTCTGCAGTGACCAGTCTAACTGCTTCCTTCACACGAAAGGAAACAATATCCAACACTTACTCAACACATGTCACACTCTGAGCTTAGCTGCTCTCTCCTTTACACTTCAAGTTTCCCACAATTTCATCAGCATTTTGGTCTCAGTCCTGAGGTCTCCTGTGGGCACACAAGGCTTCCCCATTAGCATAAGAAGTGTAATGCTGTTGGCCTGCTTGGTGGTATTTTATAGGTTTCATAAATAACTGAGAGAAACAAACTTTCACCACAGAGTTAAAATATTTAATGACAAAATTCGAGTTGCTGGAATAGTGAACCAACAGGACAGCTTGTCTCTGAATGAAACAAAAAGGTTAGTCACTGTTATAGAGAGTTTCTGAAAAACCAAGAGAAACACACATTAGCAGCATCACAATTCTGAAAATCAGGAGCAAAACCTGTCTTAACTAGTAGCTCTTATTTATGGCATTCTGTAAATGTTTCTACATAAATACATAATCTTTACTAGTCACAATAGTATAAAACAGCTCTCACTATAATTTTAAGCCTAACACATTAACTTACTTTTATCAGACCTTAAAAAATTAGCTACTGATGTTGTTACATTTTACAAATACATTCTTTAAAATGAAACATCAACCTGGATAACTGCATAGTTCCTGGACATTGGTATCTAATCATTTTATCGAAGAATACTACAGCTACATTCCAGAAAGAGGTGGAAACCCTGGCAAGCTCCTTTTCTTTATTATACACTATCAATATCATTTTCAAAGTCCTTCAGAGAAAGATAGCATTCCCAAAATTCATAGTGAAGTGCAGAAATAAAATAAACAAGGTAAGTCTTCTAGCAAAATAAAAAAATGACTTGGTCCCAAATGACAGGAGTCCTTTCAGCAAAGTTCTGTGGGTTAGCCTGCATTAGTGTTTCATGTTGCAGCACCTTCCATAAAAGAATAGCAACGAATTTCTGGGGGAGACTGGATCACTGAGGAGGGGCAGCAACTGCTGTCACAGGCCCTATGTTTGCTGAAGGACAAGCAGGATTCACCACAGGCCAAGGTCATGGTGATGGCTTAGAAGCTGACTGATCAGTAGAGGAAGCCCACAAAACTTCAGATGGCTTTTTTTTTTTCTAGTTCTGGCTATTTCTAACAAAAGTTAGGCCTAAAATGATCAACAGGGAGACTGGAGAGAGGGCAGGTAGAGGGCACTTACATTATAGACAGTACCTGTAAGAATTATGCTGAGGACGAAGGCTCAGCTTTCACAGTACGCATATGATCTCAGTCTCTGCCCCTTCAGAAGCAGCTTCCCCAAAGCTGTTGTCAAGTGTCAGAGCAATTTTATTGTTGAGTTGTTGGGGGGGGGAAGTTAAACTATTTCTCTCAACTTTTTTATACCAATAGTTCCAATAGCCAGCAGATGTCATGTTCCTGGCTTCTTTAAACATTCAGGGCACCAAAAGAAAAGTATAAGATGCAGTAAACATCTCCTGCCCCCTATATATATTCTACAGTTTTTCACCTGGATTATCTGCCTGAGGATTCACCAACCTGTTTGCGACAAATCCCATCCTCGTCCTAATAGTTTACCTATAATATTCCATGGACAATGTGTTCTTTTCTCAGGGATGGGTTCTTAGGAGAACTTAAGCTATTTAAATCAGCATTAGTAATCTAAAGTCATCTTATGCTGCTACATTACAGACTATAATCACACACAGACAGGTGACTCAGTAGATAGCAAAAAACGAAAGGGGTCCTGAAGACCCAGGCATCTGAAAATTCCATGCATTGCAGTGAATGACTGGCAAGTGTAGCTTGCCTCATTGCTTTATAAGGAATAAGCGTGTGTGTGTGTGTGTGTGTGTGTGTGTATTTTATGTTTAGTTTTTAACCCTCCAGAAAACAAAACTTCTACTGTCTAAGCACAGTATGACCTTGAACAACACATAATCCAAAGGTCTGGAAGAGACTGTTCAATCTGACAGCAGTGTAAAGGCTTTTAACCAGCTGCCTGTATCAGGCTAGGCAACTTGAAATTGACAAGTATGTCATCTGTCACAAAGCACATGTTAAATGACACAAAATAAACTGAAAACAACAATACTGAAACCTCCAAAACCTAGATACCAAGACACTAAAGGGTCTTTCCCAAGGGGAATGTAAGAATGTCTCTAAATTTGGGCATAGCTTTGTAAAAAGGGGGAAAAATAAAGTAGAATCTTTTCATATTATAGTCTACATAGACTTTTATCTAGACAAATTGTTATTTTTATTTGACTTTATTTATTAATGTTGTTGTTGTTCTATATATGTGTTTATATGGTGTGCACATGTATGCCAGAACACAGACGTGGAGGTTAGAGGTTCACTCTGGAGTCTGGTTACCAGGTTTATGCTTATAGGCACCTTCATCCACTGAGCCAATTCACTGACCCTAGATAAATTATTTTTTGTTAGAAATATAACTCCCCCCTATGTCAACTACTATAATCTGGGACAATGACAAAAAACAGAAACACCCATAAAGACACAGAGATTTTAAAGTAGGTTTTTCTGTAGGTCTGTACATTAAATTTTATCCTTCATATGATAATTCCAACTACTCAGACGGGAAAGAAGGAGCAGAAGTGTTTGTGCTTCAGCCAAAGTAGATTTCTATTTGTGTTTCTGATTTGTTTTGTGAATGCTTGTGATGGTTCATGCAATAAGATTAATAAGCAAAGAACAAAATCCAACGCTGTTATTCCCTTGATGAATCCATGTGTTTTCCATAGTACAGAGTTAAGTCTCAGGGTACTGAATTTTAACATTGTTTTTCAGATTAAGAGAACTAGGAGAGTAAGTGAAACCCCTCTTTGACTTTTATTTATACCCAGGACCATCATCTGATGGCACCACATGGAACTGTTTGTTGCTTAGTTTCTGAGAGAAGAAAAAAAACAAACTTTGCTAGTTTAGACCTGGCTCATTATTTGGTCTGAATTTCATATTCAAATTACAAAAACAATTTTCTTTCAAAAGGAAAGTACACACACACACACACGCACACACGCACACTGAAAAAAAAAAATGAAGCTGATGCTATTGCAACATTCCGTAGCAAGACAGGGAAATGTATACACAACATGTTGTCATTCACATTAACGTCTGGAGAGGAAAAGCCGAAACCCCTCAATGTCCTTACATCAGAAAACCAACCAAACCAAACAACAACAACAAAGAAGCAGCAGTGTAGAATTCTTGTAATGACTGCTGAACAAACTCCGCCATTTTCTTTAGAGGTTCACCAGGACAGGCAGTTTCTCAACATTTGTGCTTCATGGCAAGCTAAGGAGAGAGAGGGAGAGGGATGGTAAAAATGAGACCTTATTAACAGGGAGCTCTCGCTCGTTTCCCTTCCCACATCCAGGATGACAGATTCTATGCTTGGTGCTCACCACCGCTCTGACCCACAGTGGCTCCTGGTGGATGTGCAGTACTTCCTCAAATAGTTTACAGGACTATTTTGCCTCTTCTTTTATGTCAACTTTGTTAGTATATGTGTCTGCTGGCGGAGGATGCTGTGTGGTGTTCTTTCATCTCACTAAAGGAATGATGGAAACAAAATACAAAGGCCAACAAGTGTCTTACACCAGGGACAGGTGGATATCCAGGCGCTGGTTATGTCAGGAAGAACCCTCCAGAGGTACTTTGTAGAGGGCTTCTCCACTCCACCTAGTTCCCAAATAATCGAGACAGAGAATTCTTGGATTTGTAAGAAGCCTTAAAGCACACTAGCTGGATAGGCACCAACCCTCTAAGCTACTTTTCTATTTCCCAGCTCACACCCCAAGTGACTTGTCCTAATAGAGCCTGCTTGGGTTGTTCTGTTCCATTAGGCCAACATTCATGGCCACATCCTTATGGTCAACAGTGCCCCATTGCAACTCCCTTCTCTCCATCTTCCTCTACTCCTGCTACATCTTCTTCTTTCTCTTCGTGTCCTTGTGGTCCCTCTCTACTCCTAAGCCTGAAAACCTAAGCCCTGCCTCCTCTTTTTTGCCCAATTACAGGCTTCTAGCTATTTTATCAAATAATTAACTTTAAATTAGATACAGCAAAGTCTACACAACAAAGACCCATATACACGAGGAGTTCTCATCTAGGTGGCAACCAGATCTTGGGGGTCAGTAATTAGCATTAGAATACATAGCAGCAGACCAACCCTCATACATCCCATAATGTATGAAAACTCAAGCATTTAGCAAGACAATCTAAAATAATCTATGAAATATCCATTCTGGATTTTCAATCAGTTCCAAAGTTCCTGGCAATTAAATTGTATTATTGAGTAGGGATGGATAATAGACCTTAACTTCCAACTATTGGTGCTCTGCCTCCTCCTGGAATATGTCAATAATCCATCTTTCTAGCAAAGCCTTTAGGACTGTCAGAGTGTCATCTTGGTGGCCACAGGAGAAAGCTTAGAAGCCTGAGCTCCAACTGGGAAAAAAGGACCAATATTTCTTCATGTAAAAGAAGATGGCTGGCCATTGTCCTGGTTATTCTCTACATGGAAAATGTTAGCTAAAAGTCTTGGTAACATGTATGGTAGTGTCAGTGAGGATCTCCTCAGACCTCCTGCTAGCTGATTTTGATAGTCAACTGTCAGATGCAGAGTTTGTGAGCTCTGAGTTCATTTTGCTATACTGAGTGCTAATGCTTTTTTTTTCCCCTCCCAAACAACTCTGATAATTCCTAATAACTCCTGACATTAAAAGCGTTTAGTTGCAGACACAGTGAAATGATAGAAGTAGTCCTCTGCTTCAGACTTATCCTAGTCTTCAGCTACATTCTGGACCCCTTACTGTAGGGCCTATATTTTTGTTCTGCTTCAAGTTTTCATATATTATTTAACAATGAGGTCCATCAAATAAATACAGAGCTGTTAAGTGTTGTGCATAATGAATACCAACCGTAAATATTTGATCAAGGCTACTGTCTTGGTATTCACCGAGCTATTAGCTTTCCACTAAAGGGGCTTGTACTAGTTTACACATAGGCACTAATCTTCAGGAAGTAGCTCAAATCAGACCCTGTGCCATGGCCACCTGTAATTTGTAGAAATACATTTGGATAGGACAATTTGCTACTTAAGTCTTGTTATAGTCCAAATATTTATCTTTGCAAAAATCATGTGCCAAAACCTAACTGTTATGAGATGGCATTAGGAGACAGTCATGGGAGGTGACTGAGTCAGAAGAGCAGAGCCCTTGGAATGAATTAGAGACTCTTCCCCTTTTCACTATGATAGGACTCTCTTAGGGGTCACAGTAGGTAAGTGAATCAGAAATCAGTTCCTCACCAGGCATGGAATCTAGCATCTTGACCTTAGACTTCTTTGTGAGAAATAAATTTTTGTTTATCAACTATCAGGTGTTTTTAAAATTTTTTTCATTGTTGTTTATTTGTTTACTTTGAGTTAGCCTGCACAGACTAATAACAGCTATTTTAGCAAGAAGTGGTAATACCCTCGTTTAGAAAAGTATCTGGGAATAAAGGGTTTTAATATTAAGAGTAGAAAGAGCACTAGACTAAACAAGATTAGGAAACCAGATTATACACACTTGCTATGAGACCCTGAGCTCCAAAGAATTCCATGCCTTCCCATTGTTTTCCATGCCTGTAAAATTGCCACAGACTAACTCAGGTGCTTGCTTACTTAGTGAATATTTCACAGAAACCCCCTATCCATGATTTGTAACCTATTCTATATAATAATGATGACAAATAAATACTGATGAGAGGAACATTCTTTAAGAGGCCCATGTCTCTTCCCTTCTGGCCTGGAGGCCCAAACTGAAAAAACTGAACTGCAGCAGAGCAAACAATAGAATGGAGAGACAAGACAGAGATAGAGAGAGGGGATAGAGGAGAAAGGAAGAGGAGAAGAGAGCAAGAGAGAGAGAGAAAGAGAGAGAGTTACCCCAGAGAGGGTAATGCCTGTTGACATCCCTTCCCCTGCAAATGTGGGCTGGTACAGAAGAGGCCAGATCAACTCTCCTTACTGTGAGAAATGTCATTTGAGGATGCCTAGTGTGGGTAATGTTCTTGCCTGCTGACTCACCACCGTGGTGGGCTGTGAAAACCTGGAACACACTGCGACCTTGAATTTTTGGGGCAGGGGAAACTGCGTAAGGCTGCTTCTGTCGTGAGTTGCTCTTTCCTGATGGCTGGGACTGTGCCAAACCCACAGCTCAAGAGGGAACAACACTTCCTCATAACAGGCTAACCAAAGCTGGGGTGAGGAGGGTGCTGGGACAGGAGAGAAGGATTGTCTCTTTCTCTTTCTGCTCTAGAGGGCACCAGCACCTATGTAGCTGGAGGATGAGGTTGTATAAAAGATCTGTTCATTCTTGGATCTGGGTCATTGCAGGGGTTCTGGGGAAAAATTAGAAGAACAAGATTGTTTTCTACTTGTAATCTGGAAAGACAGGGCACACTTTCCATCAGACTTCCTTGTCCTCAGAGGAACCCTCACCTGGGATGACTGTTCTCAGCCATGTATACTGTGTTTTTCTCTTGTAAACACAGCCCCCTCTTTATGAGTCAACAGGCTACACACTTCTGTGTTGGGGTGGTAGGGGGTGAGTAGAATGCCTCTATTCACCTCAGAACCCTCTTCTCACCAGCAGGCCTGGGTGGGGCTTGGTCAGTGAATTGACATCTTCATGGTAAGCCTATACCAATGGGGCCAAATCAGCAGTTCTAGTCCCCAGGAAAGCAGCCACACCTTATCTAAAGAGGTTGACCTGCCCTGCCCACTAGGAACACTAATGAGGCTAGTAATTCATCAGCATGTACTTCAGTTCTAGAAGACTATAAGCCTCGCTCTGACACCGTATTACCCTCCCTCATACATACTCACTCATGGGCTGTACAGTGTCTCTTCTTCCCTGGGAACTACTTCCGGAGGGGAAAGCAATTAAAATGCAAACTTCTCTTGCCTAATCCATCTCCACTAAGAACAGACAACTGCTCTGCATGATTAGAGCTGGAGCACCCCTTTTGTTTGATGGTTTCCTCAACTTCTGGTCTCACAGGCAGTTTTAAGAATTGCTCTCGGAGGCGGGGCAAGATGGCAGCGCCGGGAGGACTCTCATTCTGAGGAGCAGCACAGCAGGATTGGCACAGTGACCAGCAATCAGAACTCGCGGCCATAAAACACAAGTGGTTGTGTTTCTCAGGTGAGAGGATACCCCACGGTGGGGGATTCGATCAGCTTTAACTCACCCGGCAAAACCGCGGAAGAGATCCCCGTTCCGCCAGGCGCTTGGTCGCCAGCCCAGAGCTACCCGCCAGCGCGATCTGGTCACGGTCCCAGACTGAACTGTGGGCCCACAACACCATAGACTGGATCTCCCAGTCGAGAGATAACCCCACGGAGCAGGAAACAATTGGGACCGACCCCAGGTTACCCAGACACCCCCTGGAAAAGACTCGGGTTCCGCGGGTGCCCCAGGAGCCAGCTCGGACCCAGAGCCGGGAGGGACAAAGGCGCCTGCCTGCAAAGAGCCCTGCCTGCGCGCGTGATTCGCCGCCTCAGATAGAACTGTGGGCACCAGGGCAACAGGGCACCAGACTGCGTGTCTCTGGCAGGAGGAAACCCCCAGCGGAGGGGGTCAGCAGCTCTAACGCTTAGGACACCCAGCACCAAAACACTTCCTGGACTCACGCAGACTCTAGTGCAGGCAGAAGCGCTGTGCTCTGCCGCCATTGTTGCGTTCCCCTGGGGCACTGGGACACACAGCTGCATCCTCGGACCTGCAGGAGTCAAAGAGCCATTACAGCAGCCCTCAGATACTGTGCCAGGGATCGGCCAGTTGTCCCTGGCTGGACTGCCAAAACTATAGGAATCCCTGATCCTTCAGGGGGGCTGCACCCACAGCGTCTGGACCAGAGCAGTGCCTGTAGCCGCCATCCCAGACAGAGACACACAGCTTCTGGTCCAGAGTGAGGCACCCAGCCTCCAGACCAGAACAGTGCCCCCAGGTGCCAAATCAACCTAGGTGCACATTCTCCAGGTCCAGAGCAGAGCAATCAGCCTTTGGCCCAGAGACTTGCTGAGTGCACCTCCCACTTTCTCAGACAGAACTGTGCGCCCCAGGATAACAGACTGAGTTTCCCTGTTGGAAGAAAACCCCATAGCTAGGGAATCAGCAGTTTCTTCAAGAGGACTGTACATGGAAATTTAGTGAGCAGCAGCACACTAAATTTATAACAAGAAACCCAGCAGTGGGGCAGCTGTCTTGAGAAATTTTATGGGTAAGAGGAGATCCCCCCCTGCC